TCAGGCTGGAGTGCAATGGTGTGATCTCAGCTCACCTGTCACCTCAACCTCAGCCTCCCGGGTTCAAGTGATTCTCCTGCCTCAGCCTCCCGAGTAGCTGGGATTACAGGAGCCCACAACAACACCTGGCTAACTTTGTATTTTTAGTAGAGACGGGGTTTCTCCATGTTGGTCAGGCTGGTCTCGAACTCCTGACCTCAGCTGATCCGCCTGCCTTGGCGTCCCAAAGTGCCGGGATTACAGGCATGAGCCACCGTGCCCGGCCGCCTTTCACTGTTTAGTGCACCTCACAGTCACTTCTTGCACTTGAGTAAGGACTTGCTAAACCCCTCTGAGAGCTGCCAGATGTTCCTGCCTAACCTCACATGGTTGCTTCTTCAGACACCTCTTCATTCTGCTCATGGCACCAGGTCCTTTCCCATCTCCATGTTCCCTCCGTGGTAATTTCTTTGTACACAACAACCACACGGAACACCAGCAATCAAGATTAGCTCCCAGGAACTCTGGCGTGCCCTGTACCAGGAAGCACAGTGGATTACTACAACTTTTGATAATGATTGTTTGCTTTGCACCAGGCATTATTTTCAGGGCTGTTTCACATGTATTGTACTTAACAACCCCATGAGGAAATTAAGGCAGGGTGGTACAGTAATTTGTCAAGGGAAACAAGGAAGTAGAGCCGGCAGCCGGGACGTTCTGGCTCTGAACCACTGTGTTCTGTAGAAATCAGTGTAAAAGTCCAAGCTTCAACATACTTGTTTCATCTTGTGCTCACAGATAGAGAAAGGAAGATAACAGAAAAGGCCACAACCTCAAATTCTGCTATTTAAATAGATGAGCAGCCTTTACACTTCCCTGTATCACAGGGTTGGAAAAGCCAGCTCTATTCTTAGCCATCCTTGTGGGCAGATTTCCAGAGTGGTGTTTGCTGTAATTATGATTAAAAAGTAAGGTTTTAAGACTATACTTTCAGGGATCATTTCTATAGTTTGTTACTAGAGAAGTTTCTCTGAACATGTAGAG